GCTATTCATAGAGTTTTCAGTGACTAGCGATTCGGAAGTAGTTTGTCACTCTTTCTTCCTAGTCTGTCTTTGTTTTGTAGCTCATCTGAAACCTGTCCACCATGGGTGACCCTGCTGGTTATTTAAAACACCGGTGGCATAGCCCTCAGAATCACAGCAACTCAAACCACCACACCAATAGGCACTCTATTTCTAGACTATGTCAGGGAGTAATCATGCTATTTCCAAGTACAGAAACCTGAATATTTATTGCATCACTCTGATAATAGAGAAGAAAAATGTAAGTACAATATATTAATAATTAACTGATAAATTATTCTATATTCTTATAATCATAAGGGTATACAAGTTGGTCATTAAATGACTATATAACTAATTTTATTCATAAAGGAAGATCCCTGAAAATAAGTTGTTTATAAAAGAAGGTGTATAGTACAAAACCAAATTTTGCTCAAAAATTCTATCTATGTACAATTGTAGAAGTGTTTGTAAGTGAACTAAGAAATATGTGTTGACTATTTTCTAGTAGGTAAAAGATGATTTTGCTCTCTTTTTAATATTTCTTTGTGCAATCTGGATTTTCTGCAGAAGCATTGATTATTTATATGATATTAGATCCAGTAAATCAATTTGTGTATTTAAATATGAGAGTACACTACATATAGTATTTTGGAATAACCAAGCAGGGAACTGTTTAAAGAAGAGCATGCAGATTGCTGCTGGACAGCTTCAAGAGCTTTTGCATTTTTCAACTGTTATTTTTAACTGGTCTGACATTTCCCCCATACCATTTTCTCTCCTCTCTGTAGCTAGAAGACGAAATCACAACTTTAAGACAAGTTTTATCAGCAAAAGAAAGGCATCTAGTTGAGATCAAACAAAAACTCGGCATGAACCTAATGAATGAATTAAAGCAGAACTTCAGCAGAAGCTGGCATGACATGCAAAGTACTACTGCGTAAGTATGATTTGAGCAGAAATTTAAAAAATGTCATTGGCTGCTATATCCCCACTAATCTTTGGTTACACTCACCCCTTACAAGGTGGATTTGGTGTTTGTAGCTAGTAAAAAATATTTTCTTTAGAAGCAGTATAAAGAAATATGTGTAATATGTTGCATGTGAATAGATATGTCAAACAGTTTCATCAAATAAAATTGACCACTAAAACTTCATTTTCACTCAAACAAATTTCCCAGGATTTTATGGTTTACATTTGTGAAGCACCAATTTTCTTAATTTTTTCTTAGAAAATCTGTAAATGAGTGGCTATTTTCTCTTTGACACTCTACTTTTTTAAAATTTCTGTCATAAGTGGCCAACAAATTTCATAGAGCTTTGTTGACAATTATTGTAAAAGAAAACTTGTACCTCTCAACTTTTGGGGATGTGCACCTAATGCCCAAATATGAGGGAATTTAAAAAGTTTGTGGAAAAAATGGAACTAAAAATAAAAATAAAAATATTAATTTTGTTTCTCAACATGCATTCCATCAAGTTCAAGGAAATTTAACCATGTCAATGCAATCTTTTTCACATTATTAACTTAAGAAAAATGGGTGCCCGCTTAAGATTTTTTAAGATAAGCCAACAAAAAGAAGTCAGAAGGAGCCAAGCCAGGTCTTTAAGGTGGGTATCTAATGATTTCACCTTGAAAATCTCACACAATCATCTTTGTTTAATGAGAAAAAGGAGCAGGAGCATTCTCCTGGTAAACAAGGAGTCTCTAGTGAAGCTTTCTCGGGTGTTTTTCTGTAAAAGTTGTGGCTAACTTTCTCAAAACACTCAAAATATAAGCACACGTTATTGTTTTGTTTTGTTTTTTTCTTTTTGCTCTCCCGAAAGTCAACAAGAAAAATACCTTGAGCACCCCAAATAAACTGTTGTCATGATCTTTGCTCTTGACCAGTCTTTGCTTTGATTGGACCACTTGCATCTTTTGGTAGCCTTTTCTTTGTCTTCAGGATCGTACTGGTAAATCCATGTTTCAGTTCTTCTAAGAAATGTTTCAGGACCTAGATCACACTTGTTTAAAATCATACTGAAAGTCCTGCTCTTGTCTGCAGTTGATCTGGTTGCAACAGCTTTGACACCCATAGAGCAGAAAGTTTGCTCAACTTTAATTTTTTAGTCAGAGTTGTGTAACCTGAATCAATTATGTTGGCTGTAGTGTTGGCTTTTGTTGATGTAGTTGTCAGTCCTCTTTAATTATGAACATGAACAAAATTGTTTTCTTGGACATTGATGTGGATGGTCTGCCAGTATGGACTATGTCTTTGACATTGTCTCATTCCTTTTTAAAACAAATTATTCATTTGTAAATTGCTGATTTCCTTGGGGACATTGTCCCCATAAACTTCCATAAAGCATAAGTGATTTCACCATTCTTCACTATAAATTTCTTTTTTGCTCTTGCTTCAATTTCAGCAGAATTCATGTTGCTCTGATAGAGGTTCCTTTCAAACTGGTGTCTTGTCCTTACTAGTACCTCAAACTAGGTCATGTTCAGACATGTTATAACAACTTATTGGTGTTATTAAGTGCTGTCGAGTCTGTTCCAACCCATAGCGACTCTGTATAGGGTTTCCAAAGAGTGACTGATGAGCTTGAACCACTGACCTTGCAGTTCAAACTGTTTTACAGTCTGGCACATTAACCCACAGCGCCATAACAGGACTCCTATAACATAGAACACATTAATTTTGGTTCAAAATAAATTGGTAATCCATGCATAATTTTTTCATAATGTGCATGTCCATGACCTTTTTGAAGACCCTTCATTTTGTAAGAAATATTTTGAGCCAAATTTTGGCCAACAGAAATGTTTTTGCTCTTGGCATTATCTTTTTGTCTTGCGTTAGGTAAGGCAAAGAATAGCTTTGGTTATTCTATAAGCATAGTTTATTGGATTACTTTTAAATTATGTGAAATATTTAACTTTTGTAGAACTTTTCTAGTGGTTTAAAATATTTTATTTGCCACATGGTCTAGTACCAAAGAAAGAAGGTGACTGGATATTTAATTTTACTTCTTTTTGTGTGTTGGAGAACTATAGAGATTTCCTATCCTAGTCCTAATGCTAGCTCCAGATCCCACCATGAAGAATTTGTTTGTGTTATACATTTTCCTACCTGGTATCACCCATTGAACATTCTTCATACCTAAGAATGAATCAGTTATTTTCTCCACTAGTACTTTCTCACTGGTCTTAGAGAGGCCTCATAATAAGAAGAGGTGTCAATAATCCCCAATTACTTCAGTTTTGCTGAGGCCAAATTTGCTTGCTAGTTCCTGAGAAATAAAGTATAAGAATTTTGTGTGAAGATGGCCTTTGTACATGAAATTCAATTTTAACAAGAGCCTGACATCTTCCCAATGTAGTTCCCTTGGTTTCCATGTGAACCAAGAGCCTCTTTCTCCCCTGTAAAGTGGGGCAAGCGTTCTATAGGTTTGTCTCCCTATGCACCATAAGAGCTCATCCAGGCAGCCCAGAGACAGCTCAGAGTAGAGCTGACTGAAACCAGGGAGTCTATCAGCTTATATCTAGAGGCTAAGCAGTCTTCCCCAACCTGATGATGACAAAACATGGAAGAAGATAAGAAACCACACATTGATGTGGATCACTTTAAAATATAGCCTCGGACACCTTATACTATGGGCCAGAACCAACTGAACAGCACTTAACAACATCATCACTTTTGTTGCAAATACCTTTTTACAATAACTTGAACAGCAACTTTACATGAGGATCTTGCCATATGGAATACACAGGAATCAAATCCACTACATCTATGGAGAGAGATGAGAGAGAAACTCGGTATCATGAGCCAAACCAAGGCCAGAGGCCAACAGTGGATCAAACTGAACTGTGCCAAGAAATTGAAAGACCTGGCCAACTGACTGGAAGAGATCCGTATTTGTGCCCATTTGAAAGACAGGTAACACAACAGAATGCGGAAATTCATAGTACGATAAGCATTGGAATGCTAACCTCAAGATCAATGGCTCAAACCCAACTGCTGCTCCTCATAAACCCTACACAGGGTTGCTATGAGACAGAACCAACTCGACACCACTTAACAACAATCACCTGCTGCTCCTTGGAAACTCTATACAGGGTCACTATGCATCAGAACCTACTTGACATCTTAACAACAACAACAATAATATATTCAAATAAATTTTTGCTGAAAATAATTTAAAAATTATTTTAGCTCACACAGTGAACTGCCATAAATTTAAGCCAGATTCAGAGGAAGACATGGAATCAGGGATATCATTGCTGACATCAGATGGTTCTTAGCTGAAAGCAGAGAATACCAGAAAAATGTTTACTTGTGTTTTATTGACTATACAAAGGCATTTGACTGTGTGGAACATAACATACTATGGATGACATTGTGAAGAACAGTATTCCGGAACACTTAATTGTGCTCATTTGTTCAAGAGACATTTGTTCAAACAGAACAAGGGAAAACTGTGTAGTTTAAGAGCAAGAAAGGTGTGTGTTAGTGTTGTACACTTTCACTGTACTTATTCAATCTATACTAAGAACAAATAATCTAAGAAACTGAACCATATGAAGAAGAATGTGGCATAAGGATTGCAGGAAAGGGTCATTAACAACCTGTGGTATTCAGATGATACAACCTTGTTTTCTGAAAGCAAAGAGGATTTGAAGTTACTTACTGATTAAGATCTGGTAGCGTAGTGGTTACGAATCGGGCTGCGAACCTTAAAGTCAGCGGTTCGAAACTACCAGCTGCTCCGCGGGAGAAAGATCAGGCTTTCTACTCCCGTAAAGATTTACACCCTTGGAAACCCTGTACAGGGTCGCTATGGGTCGGAACCGACTCGAGGGCACTTAACAACAACAACTGATTAAGATAAAATAATACGGCCTTTATTATGTAAAGAAAACAAAAATCCTCACAATTGAACCAATAAACAACAATATGATAAACAGAGAAAAGACTGACATTGTCAAGGATTCATTTTACTTGGATCCATAATTAATGCACATGGAAGCAACTGTCAAGAAATCAGATGATGTATTGAATTACACAAATCTGCTGAGCATTGTAGCACAAACACTGGACTGCTAGCTGCAAGGTTGGTGGTTCAGATCCACCAGCTGTTCCTCAGAAATCCTATAAAAGGTCACTTTGAGTCAGAACCTACTGGTTGGCACTTAACAACAACAAAGGGTTAAAGTTGTCACTTTGAGGACTATGGTTTACCGGATCCAAACAATTGTATTTTTGGTCGTCTCCTATGCATATGAAAACCAAACAGTGAAAAAGGAAGGCTAAGAATTGATGCATTTGAATTATAGTGTTAGCTAAGAACATTAAATATACCATTAAATATACCAGAAGAGTGAACAAATCTGTGAATGAAAAAATCTGAAATGTTCCTTAGAAGTGAGGATGATGAGACTTTGTCTCACATGTTTTGGACATGTTATCAGGAGGGACCAGTCCCTGGAGAAAACCACAGTGCTTTGTAAAGCATAAGGTCTTCCAGATGGATAGGCAGAGAGGCTACAACCATGGACTCAAACAGAGCAATTGTGATGATGTCATAGGACCGGGTAGTATTTCATTCTGTTGTATCTAGGATCACTATGAATTGGAACTGACTGGAGGGCACCTAATAACATTTGACAGCAATTTCTGTCGTTGTCTTTATACTTTTATATCCTACAACAGGTCCTGATAGTATGAAGCTAAATAATTTCCAGTTTCCTGGGACAGGTTTAGTCTGCGTTTTATCCAAGCCCACAGGCGTTATGGCATGCTGATCTGAACTTCCTTCTAAACTGTAGAAACCAGGAAAGATCTTTCTGCTTCACTTTTCTAATCACACTTTAGGGATAAGCTAATCAAATGCAGAGCAGGGAAATTGCAGTAATTCTGGTTGGGGGTGGAGTAAAGGCTGGGAATATCTGGACAGAGGG